CAACTTAAATGATTCAGTTAAAATGTGTATCAGTCAGGGTCCCAGCCAGAAACAGAATTCACCCCAGATGAGTTAAATCTTCACCCACTGAAGAGCCTTTACTAGAGGGACCACTACCACAGATTGGGCAGGGCTAAGAAAACAAATGAGAGGACAAGGCAACCAGAGACTGAAAGTAGCCAGAGGAAGTGGTATCCCCGGCACTGAAGATTCAAGAGAGGAGACGGTGTTATCAGGATCCAATGAGAATTGCAACCCATTAAGAGCTGTAGCAGAGTAGAGATACAGCGGCTTCTAGAGAGAACACCTGCACAGGGAGAGGGTGGGTGACCGCTCTCTCCTCTTGCTCTTTGATCTCCTGTACAAGCCTCTTAGTAGTCAAGCCAATCAGACACCAGCCCAGTGAGGCACTCTGCAGGGCTCAGCCTCTGGGGCACAGGGCAAGGAGGCCTGAGAATGGATGGGTAGTGAAGGAGGGTAGCAGAGGGGAAGAAAATAACCAGCATGAGAGAGCACAAGTGAGACCCTGCAGTGGCCTCGCATCCCACACAGAGTAAAATCTGAAGTCCTTACTCTGGCTCACAAAATCTTACATGGCCCAGCACCTGCTTCCTAATCATTTTTGTCCTCTGAGATTTCCATTCCTTTTTGTAAGCTCAGCCAGTCATTTAAACAGGGTATTATAATCCACCTAGAAATTAAAAATATTACAGCAGGTGCGTTTTCAGGATATTCATCCTCTATATTTTCAGAAGCAGAAGGTCCAGCATTAATAAATGCCATTGAGTAAATGGGTAAATAAACCGCTTTTGGGTCATAAACTGCAAATATCCTTTTCTTTCTTAAGGAAAGACTTAATCTTTTTTGGTCTCATTATTTGGTTGGATATCTTTTTGTTCTACTTGTTTGTTGGACATTCTTATTCTTTGAAAACCAAGATCCAGGGCTTTCTTCAGAAAGCTGGTCTAGGTCATCTGACATTCAAGCTCCAGACTTGCACCATGCTTATATGGTGCGCCAGCAGGTCCTAGAAGGAGAGACCTTAGGTCCATCCAAAGTTGGGTTTTAGAGGGAGGAGTTATTTAGTGACATCGTCAGATAGACACTCAGTTTATTCACTTTTCTATACATTTTTAAATTCTGGCCTTATATCAAGTTAGATTTCTAAAGGACTCAGGGGGCGCCTGGGTGGCTCAGTGGGTTAAGCCTCTGCCTTCGGCTCAGGTCATGATCCCAGGGTCCTGGGATCAAACCCCACATTGAGCCCCGCATTGGGCTCTCTGCTCAGCAGGGAGCCTACTTCCCCCTCTTTCTGTCTACCTCTCTGCCTACTTGTGGTCTCTGTCAAATAAATAAATAAAATCTTCAAAAGCAAACAAACAAACAAATAATAAAATAAAGGACTCAGACCACAGCTTGGCCCCTCTGAAGGTCCTCTCACCGAGTCCATCGGTGCTGTGGGTTTTGGCTTTTATCAAGGCATTTTTCATATGGATGCTTTTGAGTCATACAGATGGATTTTTTATTGGTTAAAAATATTTTAAGCTACAGTGAGAAATTTGGCTTAAATTTACTGCACATTCATCTATACCATGGAATATGATTCATCCATAAAAAGGAACAAAGTACTGATACACGCTATGGTGTGGTTGTACCTTGAATGCCTCACACTTAGGGAAAGATGCCAGACACAGAAGGCCAGATATTGTGCGATCTGTTCATATGCAATACCTAGAATAGGCAAGTCCGTAGAGACAGGAAACAAACTGGTGGTGGCCAGGGGCTGAGGGGAGAGTTGAATGGAAACTGACTGTTACTGGGTTTAGGGTTTTCTTTTTTTTTTTTTAAGTGATTTTTTTAAAAAAAGATTTTATTATTTATTTGACAGACAGAGATCACAAGCAGGCAGAGAGACAGGCAGAGAGAGTGGAAAGCAGGCTCCCTGCTGAGCAGAGAACCCGATGCGGGGCTCGATCCCAGGACCCTGGGATCATGACCTGAGCTGAAGACAGAGGCTTAACCCACTGAGCCACCCAGGTGCCCCGATGAGAATATTTTTAACTAGATAGAGGTGGTGATCATACAACACTATGAATGTACTAAATACCTCTCTGAATCATACACTTAAAATGGTTGCTTTCATGTTATATAAAATTTACCTCAATAATAAAATTTTTAAAATAGTGCACATTCAGTCTAAAGAGAAGGTATGGGGTAGGCAAGGTCATGGGACATGTTAGCAGCCACCTGAAGGGTGATCAGGAGAAGAGTGGTTATTTGGCTATTCTGTGGTCCCCAAAGGGCAGAACTAGAATGAGTAGGTGAACATTATAAACCATTGCAAAACCCCAGAGAGATTGAAACTAATGCTGGAGGGCTGTTTGCCCACCAAGGGATGGTTGAAGCAAGGGTCAATGAATACCATCAACAGAAGAAGCCTTAGGTCCATAGGAAGGACCACTGTCCTTCCCTTGTGCCCATCCCCATCACAGATGACTGCAAAGCTTGCTCAGGGCTGCCAGCCAAGGTTGTGTTCACTGCAGTTTCCAACACAAATTTATCATGGGTAGAAGGAACACCCAGTCTCACACAACGACCAGGAACCCCACAGCCAAGCTGCCTGTTCTCCAATAGCATCCTCCTCCTCCCCTCCACGTGAACGACCTTCTCCCCTGGACACAGCCTCCACCTTGCCCTCACCCCAAACTGTATCAACTCCAAAATCACATACTGCAGCACCCCACCCCGTAGTCCGCCGCCTCTTGTAGACCTAGTGCTCGACTACCTCATTGCAGCACTGGTTGACTGCGCCTCGTTGAACCTCCAGGCGGTTAACTAGCTCCTTCATTTCTTCTTCATTTCCATTCTGTTCTGTACTGTTGTCCAACCTGTCTTGACTCCAGACAGGCTTTTGAAGCTTGCCTTCTGAGACAACTCATTCCTTTGAAGAAAAGTGGTTCTGCTCCTTACCGCGAGCACGTCTGCTTTGTTTGTCCACTTAATCTATGCGTTCATTCAAAACATATTTGTGGAGTATCTGTGGCATATCAGGTATATGTTAAATCCCAGAAACACAGCAGTGAACAAGATAATTTGCTCCTACCCTTTGGGAACTTAGAATCTAGCAGAAAAGACAGATATTAAGCAATTACTCAATAATTAGTTAATTAGAATTAAAGGAAGGAAGAAAAACATGGGCTGTGAGAATGGAATTTTTTTTTTAAGATTTTATTTATTTATTTGACAGAGAGAGAGATCACAAGTAGGCAGAGAGAGGAAGGGAAGCAGGCTCCCAGCTGAGCAGAGAGCCTGATGTGGGGCTCGATCCCAGGCCCCTGGGATCATGACCTGAGCTGAAGGCAGAGGCTTTAACCCACAGAGCCACCCAGGTGCCCCTGAGAATAGAATTTTTAAGAAAGGACCTACACACAGAACTAAATATAAACATGTTTATTATCAAACTTTGTACTGCCATGCCAATCACAGAATAGGTATGGCATAAGCTTAAATAAATACATACTTTAAAAACTATAAAATATTTAAAATCATAATTTAAAATACTTTGTTAAACCCAAACACAGACCATATTTACATTTCACACAGCTATTTCCACTGCAGTATATATAAATATTTATATGTACAACATTTGAGCAATTTCAGAGAAAATAATAAGCTATTCCATAGGTAGTCTGCTTGCAGAGTTGTTTATTTTTTTCTCTCCCTTACTCCCCAGAGTTCTTTTGCCCTGTCAAAATCTCTGACCTTCTGACCCTTAGCATGCCTCCCTGTTGACTTTTGGCTTTGCGTTGGCCAACATGCAGCCAGCACTTCTCCAAAACTGATTTTTCAGCACATGCCAGATTAGTGAATCTAGCTAGATTAGAGAGTTTTGATTCTCACATCATTGGCAAGATGGAGTGAGAAGTTCTGGTGATGGACGGGCCAAGAACTTCTCACTGCCAATGATCAACTGATAACTGAAGATTCCATAGGAATTTTAACTTCCCTCATAAATAAACATAAGTATTCATTCATACAGACTGTCCTTTCTTCATGAACACCCTAACAAACAGAATAACACAATTAAGGAATTAATATTAAAAACCTTCACTTAAAAAAAAAATCCACTGCATAAATCCTTTTCACGGAGAGTCCTCATCATGAATTTAAAATCTTATGTCATATGCAAGAATGATATGTTGATGCATCACATCTGATAAGCATCTTTGTAGGAATGGAAAGCACATCCATTTTCTACCTGTTTTTTTTTTTCAACAAAGATATTCATGAAAGTGTACTTTTATTTGTTTGCATTTATGCTTTTTTCAAATCAGAACACTTGGCCTAATGGAAGTTTTTGTCATAGAAAGCCACATCCTTCTGAAAACAAAGCTGACACTGTACAAGTGTATGCCATTGGGATTCTACTCTCCTGATACTTCTCCTTTTATTTATTTATTTATTTTTAAAATAGGCTCCACGCCCAGCACGGAGCCCAATGCAGAGCTTAAACTTGTGACTCTGAGACCAAGACCTGAGCTGAGATCAAAGTCAGATACTTAATGGACTGAGCCACCCAGGTGCCCAGCTACTCATGTTTTTAAAAGTAACTATAGTAAGAATCTCAACTTTATACTGGTTAACAATATACATTGCTGGGGGACAGCTTTTGCCCTTTTTTGAAATAAATTTACTACAGAACCTGTTAATTAATAAAGATCTAGGTTAAGTAACATTTACCCTAAATGTAGTCTTAACCTGCACATATTTTAAAGTCCCTACAATACTTACACTGAATTAAGAATTAGGGAAGGTTGTTCTTTAGCCAATGCAAATAAAAGAACATAATCTCTAAGAACACTTTATAAAGCACTGAATCCCACAGGGATAAAAGTGATCAAGACTGCTTAGTAATCTTTGCCAAGAGTGTTAAATAGGATTTCCCATGCACTTGCCTGTGGGCTTTTAAAAATGGTTGTTTTTTGCACATTGGTAATAGAGTATCTTTGGCCAAGTTGTTTTCCCTAAACTCCTGACGGTTATTCATCCTGGCGACAGCAGCCATGTAATCAATCAGTAGTTGAGACACAGAAAGAAACAATACCACAAAATACCATGTTTCTCCACTGAGATCTCACAGAGAGCGTGGAGACAGTTAGAACAGGAATCCTGAGACCCTGGAGCCGGAGTCTCTTCACTTTTGTCCAGAAGAAAATATGCTTTTCCTCCATCAGCACTTTCCAGATGCTGAGAACAGGAAAGAGAAAGCCGAGTCTTGCTGGTGACAGGCTGGCCTTGCCCACTAGAGCCTGGGCCATTGAAGTCCTCATGGGGTCCATGCTCTCAGCTGTCAAGGTGGCGGATGTGGGAGCTCAGAAGCACCAGAGACCAGAGGATCCCCTTCTGTCGCTGCCATCATCAGGCTATTGGTCGAGTCCCCTGGAGGTACCTGTGTTCCTGCAAACGAAGAATGCATACTGTCAAGGACCCTTAATATTCTGCATTAATAGCAACAACAAAATTCACATTCTAGCCCAGACCACTGTGTTCTCTCTCACTGGAGAGTCCAAGCATGAACAACAAAATTCTATTTAGTTAGGGCAGCAAAACTATTCTGTATGATACTGGAATGGTGGGTACACGTCATTATACACCTGTCAAAACCCATAGAATATACAAAACCAAGAGGAAACCCTAATGTAAATGATGGACTTTAGTTAATAACAATGTATCTATATTGACCTATCAATTGTAACAAAATACCTCACTAACACAAGTTGTTACTAAAAGAGGACATAGAAGCATCAAGGAGTATGTTGGAATTCTAGTTTCTGCTCACTATTTGTGTAAACCTACGACTGCCTAAAAAAAATAAAGTCTATTAACTTACAAAATATATTCAGGGGAGAGCTGACCCTTCCAATTCTCAGACAGCACAGCAGAGTGGCTGAGAACACAGATTCTGCCTGAGTTTGAATTCTGGCTACGCCACTCACTAGATTTAAGATTTTATTTATTTTTTTTTAAGATTTTATTTATTCATTTGACAGACAGAGATCACAAGTAAGCAGAGAAGCAGGCAGAGAGAGAGGAGGAAGCAGGCTCCCCACTGAGCAGAGAGCCCGATGTGGGGCTCGATCCCAGGATCCTGGGATCATGACCCAAGCCGAAGGCAGAGGCTTTAACCCACTGAGCCACCCAGGTGCCCCTAGATTTAAGATTTTAAACAAGTTTATGTAACTTGTCTGTTCCTCATATTCTTACCCACATGATAAGAAATTGGCAACAGTCCCTATCTCATACAATTCCTAGTTAGGACATGGCACTTACTATCTAGGAGATAGATAAGTGCCACGTAAAGGTTAACGATCATCATCATTATTATTAACTTTCACAAGTGAAATGACTCTAGGCCAAGTCTTGTTTATGTTTTCTTTTCCTTCTGCAAAGAAATGAAATAACTTTTCATAAAACACGACAAAGGTGGTGATTCTCCCCCAAAGAACCAGCAGGTTTGGAGGGCTCAGGGAGCAACAGAACATGAAGAAAGGTTATGTTCTTTCAAAATCATATGGGATTTTAAGTCTTACCTGATTCCTTTGGACTAAAAATGACTACAAAGCCATGTGGAAGGATCCATCGGATTCAAGGCTTTGGCAGCTGCTGTGGAACACACAAGAACACTAGATTAAGCTCTGTTTCCCAACACGAACAGAGAAAAATGTGTAGAATACTCAGTGGCATGCTATGGACAAGAATGCAACTTACCTGGCAGGAACAAATTTCTTTGCTGCAAGAAAAAGAAGACCATTAATTTGGACTAAAGGATTTTGAAGGACATATCACATTCAGAAAAAATATGGCTCTGTTCACCAGGGACTATAAGCTCCATGCCTTCAGGGCCCCTGTGATAATCAGAGCACAAACACAGCTTGGGGCAAGGCGGGGATGTGCAAAGCACACACTCATCCTAAGGGCCCAGCAGCTTCCTAATGCTAGCGACAGCCGCAGGCTCAGCTTGCCGAATTGATCTGCCAGTTTTTCAAGAGAAGTCCCAAACCTAGATTTTATGGGAGAGTTCTCATTTTATAAATGTCAGAACTTGATTTTAAAAAGTGTTAAATATTTCATAAGCCAATCAAGCTGTGAGTGTGGCTATATGTGTTTGCAGGGGACAGTCCCCAGGAGATACACCATATTTAAGCCTGTATTCCAAATGAATGTTTTAGAAACATTTTAATCATTTCCTGGAAGCACAAACCCAAAGCCTCATGGCACAATGACCAGGGGAGATGCAGAATTCCCCGTGAATGGTATCTCTTGGAGCTGTCCACTGTTCAATAATGTGTATTTCCTAAAACTCTTCCTCTAAGACCACAGCTCAATTATACTGTTTATTAGCGTTTATCTGGTAACTCGAGTCTAATTACTGTTTAAATGTGCAAGAGAGAACATGACTCATCGATGAGAAAAAAAATACATTTTTCAAAAACATTTTTGGAGTATGCTCCCAAACTCCCTTACCCTTCTTCCTCAGGCGTTTCAGGAGCCAGAGGAGAAATGAGGCTAATGTCAAGAAGGAGGTCCCAGCAGCAGCAAGTCCAACAGCCAGGGGAGCGCTGGACTCAGCGGGAGCTAGGGAAACCGAGAGGGAGGAACTGTCACAAGAAGGAACTGAATTTCAAGTCTTTCTGTTCTGTCCATTTGCCCTTTCCTTTGCACACTGATGAGCTACTTCAGTACCCACAGAGGCACTAAAGTCCTCTGAGACGGACCCAAACCACCTGCGGCAGCTTGTCTCCCACCACTGCCGGGAGCTCTCTAACCTGTCAAGCCCTTCCCAGAACCCACTGCACCTTGGTCAAGACTGCATGCCTGCTCTTTCCCTCACCTGTCTTCTGTTTCCCAACTTTGACCTCGAGCTCCCCTTTTTCCACTTGTCAGAATTCTACCCATTCCATCCACATGTCAGCTGTTCTGTTTTCTGTTGCCATAAAACTAAATATTCACCAGCTTCTCAACCTTAAGAACCTTTCTTGTTTGAACGTAATGAATGGTTCGTTACTTTCCCCCTCTTCTGTCTAGCCTCCCAGACAGCCATCACCAGTCAGGGCTTCACCTTCACAGGTCGGTGGGATCCCAGACCAGTGTCCTGTGGCATCACAGGTCAGAGCTGCAGTCCCATTGAGCGTCCATCCTTCGGGACATGCAAACGTACACACAGCTCCAAACACGGGCTCCCCGCTGCAGCTCATGTTCGTCTTTCCGGAAACTGCCAGGCTTGAACATTGTACCCCTGCAGATGATGGACACATGGGGAGAGGTTGACAAAGGTCTCCTGGAAAAGGTCTAAACCTGGCTGAAAACTCTTCAATAGACGTAACTTATAAGCATTACCTAGTTTTCAGCGTGTAGGAAATTAGGGTCAAGCCCCATGGGTAATCTAGCTTCAGACACACATGAAGTGTTTGACCTAACTCCTTAAAGTCTAAATTCAGCCCTACCTTGGCAGGAGGGGACCTTCTGCGTCCACTGTCCCTGAGAGGTACACTCGAGCTGAGCTGACCCATGTAACTCAAAGCCATCCTCACAGCTGAAGGCACAGGAGGACTTGTAGGTGAACTCTCCAACAGAGGAATGGGCACACCTCACCGAACCATGCTGGAGATGCCGGACAGCGTCGCATTTCACAGCTGGAAGACACAAGTGAGCACATTGAAGTCTGTATCAGGAAGCAACAGTTTTCTCAAGTAATCAAGTCCCTAGGTCTTCAATAGTTTTTATCTTGAATAAAAACAAAAACTGTACCTTCACATGTGGGCTCCTCACTGTCCCATTCGCCTGTGGGGCCACACTGGAGTTTTTTGGATCCCTTCAACACGAATCCCTTCTCACAGAAGAACTCACAGCTGGACCCACTTTGGAAACTTCCAGAAGCACTTGGAAGACAATTCATGTAGCCTTTCTCTGGGATGGACAAGGCTTTGCACTGAAAAGCTGAAACACCAAAATGATGGTCAGAAAATACTGCAGTGGAACTGGAGAGTTCATTCACTTGATGAATGAAGCCCTTCGTTTTGGGCAAAACAATGTTTAGAGACCTCAAGGCTCTTCATTCCTCCCTGGACAGTTGGGAAGATGACTGTCTTCTTTGAATGCCAGCCCCTTCGTTGATAATGGCACTCAGTAAAGGACAGCCTTTAACAGAACCAGTGTTTCCTGAGCACTGTCCTGACATTTAAAAGAAGTTACAGTCAGGAGAAAGATTTTAGTAGTCAGAGAGCAAATTTTGGGTCCTGGATGCTAACAGATGATGCCAAAACACAGAAGGAAGGTAAGAAGGCAGCCCATAAAATGTGTCTGCTTTGCAGTTTGGTTTTGGTCTTGTGGCTTCTTAACACTGGAAATCATTCTGTGCTGTATTTGGTGACAAAAGTACCAGTATGTGATAATGAAAACTGCTTGTTTTCAACATTGCTACTCTTGCTTTAGAGTGGATTAAATTTTAGTGTGTTTATATATGACCCCACACTTCGTACATTCTCTTCACTGCTAGTTATGAGCAGTTTCAGAAGAAAAGTGATTATAAGAGTTTTAAAATCATGTCATGTTCTCATAATGCTACTTTTAAGTGTTCTCATGTGATTTCCTCTTAGATTAGGGTTTCTGCCTACTCCATGCCAATGCCAACAAAACCATATTAGCACAGCACAGTGAAGAAACCAGTAAAACATCCCCTCTTAGTACATATAATCCTTTCCCTGGATAAGCATTGGTTCTTTTATATGAAACTCAAAAACATAAGAAGAATGTTGCCCATCAAATCTGATTACTCTAGTTAAAGTGGGCATCTGGTTTCATTTTAACTGCCCTAGTTCGAAGACTGCTGCCCTTTAAGGAAGGGGTGTAGAAAGGAGATGCTCTTGGGCTTACCTTCACAAACTGGGACCTGCTGACTCCATTTCCCTTGCGCAGTGCATTGAAGTTGGGCTGCTCCCTGCACCAGGAAGCCTTCCTCGCAGGTGAAACTGCAGAAGGACCCAAAGGTGAACTCGCCCTCAGGGGAGTGGCTACAGCTCACAGACCCGTTCTGAGGATGGCCGATGGCCTCACATGTCACAGCTGTAACATAGACACCCATGAACATTAGCAAGTCTGGCCTGACCATTTCAGGTACAGATTGAGGAGAAGAATGTTTACAGTGAATCTTGACATGGAGCAACTGTACCTTTACATGTTGGCTTCTTGTTGTCCCAGTTCCCAGATGAGGTACACTGGAGGCGCTTGGAGCCCATTAGTTCAAATCCTTCTTCACAAGCAAAGGCACAAGTTGTGTTCCATGGGAAGTTTCCAGAGCTTTCGAGACAGTCCACAGTGCCATGGGCGGGCTTTGTCAGTGCACTGCACTCAACCACTGGGGATTTGAACGAGTACCGTGAATATGTTTACTTTCTACTGAGCTGGAACTTAAAACAGGCAAAGGAAGCAGCTTTCAAACCGTAGATCCCAAAGTCCTAAATTAATTATTGGGGATATGCACACACATGATAAAGCTTTTATGCCTTTTTCATACTTCCATCTTCTCTAATTTATACTTTGGCTATGCTAAGTGGTCTCTGATCTATGTTATCACATCTCTCTCATGTCTCTGATCTATTTTACGGAAGGCAAAAACAGAAAAAAACAGATTCATGATCAGGATTTATGATCATTGTAATAATAAAAGTACTGACATACACGGGACATTCATTGATGTCCACCCAGCAGGACTGGATGCAAAAAGTTTTCATCTCCAGCCTACAAAGATAAGCCTGAGAGAGAAAAAGTTGTTGGGACTGCTTGACTACCATGGTCTTATTCTTCTGCTGCACGGAGAGAGGCCAAGTGGGAGAAGTCATGAAGGTTTCTCGAGTGTGGTCCCAGCACCATGGGCACTCTCTTACAAATCACCAGAGCCTCAGAAGAACCCATCTCAAACCCGGTGGTTTTTCCAAAAAACCTCTCTGAAACCAAGCAGGCACCCTACTGACCACACCTGTTGGCTGGGAGAATCTTACTAAAAACAACAACAAAAAGAACTTTCCCTGGAGTTTTGAAAGTGCTGTTAGTTGCATTAAAAAAAACCAAGGCCACGAGGGACAAGTCAGAGGGTGGTGTGCGTTCAGAGGCATTTACCGTTGCAGGCTGGAAGAGGGGCGCTCCAGTCCCCCGCAGAAGTGCACCGTGCAGCCTCTGTGCTGCTTGGGATGTAACCCTTTTCACAGTGGACGGAGCACGAGGAATTGTAGCTGAAGAGTCCCAGAGGGTGGGCGCAGACCAGGCTTCCGTGCTCAGGGTCTTCTTGCGCTTGACAGGTCACAACTGAAAGGAGAGACCACATCAAATCTGTTCTCTGTGGCCCAGCATGAAGGGAGGAAGCCCTGGAAACTGTCACGACTGTTTACTGAATGCCTCCTCCCTGCCGGGCACTATGGTCACTCACTTAGACCTAACCATGGGGTTGACACCATTATCACCCTCATTTTGTGGCGAGAAAACTGGTACTCGAGAGTTTAACCACCTGATCCGGGTGTCTGAAGTCACAGTAGTCAATCTGGGATTTGAAACCAGGGCTCTTAACCACCACGTGACACAACACGCCCCAGGGAAGGGAGGATGGGCAGAGCGGATACCCAAGCCAGCTGGGACACGGACGGCGCTACCAACAGGAGTGAAGGAACGGGTGAGGCAGGGACTCACCTTGCTCACACCTGAGTCCACTGAAGCCGGGGTGGCACTCACAGGTGTAGTTGTTGACGGTCTCCACACACTCACCGTGGCCACTGCAGGATGTAGGGGTACAGGCAGCTGCAGAAAACAGAACGAGGAAGAGGATCGTCATCATGCTTACAATGCCGTCCGTTGGGTTCAGGAGCAACAGTGTATGACAGAGAAGTCACCAGTTACAGGGACTGCCAGAGATTTTAACTAAAGGGCTTCACCCAAGGACAAAGCTGGGTTTGAAGCTCAGCTATTTCAAACCTTGATGTTTGTGTGCAAGTGTCAGGGGGTGGAGCTGTTATGGGCATCAAGAACAGAAAATGCCCTTTCTCACAGACTTTCAAGATAGCTCTTCTACAAATAAATGAGTAACTCAATTATGCGTTGTATGAGCACACATTACATACGTGTCGATCTACCTCGGTACATACATTCTTGCCTACACTCACACAAAGAAGCAAGAAGATGTAATTTACCAAGCAGATGGTTTTAAAATGGTATTTTTTTAGAGCATAACGTTACCACGGTAGAGACCAGGTTTTGCAGACTGTCAATAATTTGGCCAGAGGCCCACAGCCCGACATGCCCGCCCACGGCTGCTGCGAGCCCCGTACCTGTGTAACACAAGGCAAGCTTCTTTTTGTCGCATCTCTCGTCATTCCACATGCCCGTGTCCTTGTCTCTCTTGATGTAGATCTCCACACAGTCTTCATTGTTCTGCTTGTTGTTCGGTTCGCCGGGAGCCCAGTTCTTGGCTTCTTCGGTCAGAAGCTTCTGGGTCCCTATCCAGGTCCACTGCTGATTGACCTTTCTTATTCCGATCCAGTAGTAAGTAGGTGAATGGCTGAACACGGAGTTCAGGTATTTAATCTCTTCTTGGTTTTGAATTGCGACCAGATGCGTGTACCTTTGCTGACAGTAAGCGCTGGCTTCGTCGAAAGTCATGGTTTCTGTGGACGCGTTGTACGACCAGGCTCCACTCTCTTCAAACAGGACAAGTGCTAAAGGGGAACGCAGGGAAGGCAGGAGAGGTTAGTCCTGCTGTAGTTCGACTCTATCCACTGGGCTTTTTATAGTCTTATTTTCATCTACCAGGGGCCTTTGGAAAGATTTGAATTTTTTTCACCTTTTCCAAAGTAAGAAGGGGTCTGGAGGGAGAAACTGCTGTTGTGCATACTTTTGGGGGTTGGGCCTCCCTGCACTCACCCACCACAATCTACCAGGATATCCCTATAGTAGTGTAATCGTCAGAATAAGTAAGGTTACCGAGCACTTGATATGCACTTCCAAGCCCTGTGTGAGGCCCTTTCCATGACACTGGACCCTCACGACGCCTCCGGGAATAGGCCACTTACAATCAACACTTAACGCATCAGGAAGCGGAGGCACACGGAGGTTAAACTGCCCCTAACCCACTGCGGACTGCACTGCGCAGAGGTCAGAGACGCTGCTAAACACCCTAAAACACACGCCCCTCCCCACCCCACCCACGAGGAGGAATTATCCAGCCTGAAATGCCCGTGGTGCCAGGATGAGAAACCCTGATCTAATGAATGACATTGACTTACCAAGAGTGAGAGCGGAGAGAAGCTGTGAGGCGATCATGACTTCTCGGGCTCTTTTTATCAGAAGTTCAGTCTTGAAATGCCTTCCTGGGGGCGGGGGGAAGCACAAAATTAATTACAGAAAGAAATCCTAGGCAGCCAGTTACTGAGATCATTCTACATGATGTTTTCAGCAGCATTCTAAGATTTTAGGTAAAGAGTAACAGTGCCGTCGTCTTTGCTTGTTTCCAGGAAGTTGGCTGGAATGAACACATACAAAATTAAAGATTTTCATCATGGAGGTGAAAGAGAAAAACCAGAGTTTAACTCGTCCGGATATAACAAGGAGGTGCACAGGTCTTTTATCAAAGGCTTTCTGCATCTCTATTCGTACTGACAGCCCTGGTTCAAGGTCAGCCTTGCAAAGGCTCTTTGCACTTACTGTTCTGCGATGTCGTGGCTTCGGTGCCGCGTTGGAAATCCTGCTTTTGTTCCTGCTACTTTGTCTCCTTCGGTCAGCGGTTCTGGTGTGAAGTCAGCCGAGAGCCGCAGAGCACCGCTCCTCCTGGAGCGCCTTTATAGGGAGGCTGGTTTCCTGTGAGTAATAATACAAGGATGTGTCCAAACCCAGTGAAGAGGAATTCCCCAGCAGCATCCAAAAAGTTTCCCGGGAATATCCACGACTCCAAAAAATTTCAGTGATGTCAGACTCTAGTCCTCCAAGCTAATTCTCCTTTGTTCGTGTCTTTTAATTTTACATCAATACTACTAATATGGCACAAATGTGGGGTTTTAAATTCTAATAACACCAAATCGATGTCTTTAAAAAGTTTGAAAACGTTGCTTATTAGTAGCATCTCTCCTGTAATTGTAATAACCAGAATTTCATGAACATAAGCAAGCTCTGCGTTGGTTTTAGTAACTGTGGACCGCCGTTCTTCGTTTCCCATCTGCGCTGTCAACAGTACAGCGCAGAGAGTCTTCTGTTTTTTCTCTCTCTCACTTACCAGTGCAACCCGTTTTAAGGTATGCTGTCTCACAGGAACAGGTCAGGAGGTGTAAGCTAATCTTCAGATTCTGTGCATGGCTATAGCTAAATTACTAGAAATAACATCTCCCAGATAAATGTTTGAAATAATGCCTTCTTTCTTTAAAATAACAAAAATGGGAAACAGACTTAGTTGTCCATGTCTGGAAAATGTTTATTCATGATTTGTTCAGTGAAAAAAAAATAAGGATGAAAACTCTATGTACTAATATTTACTTGACTCCAATTTTACTTAACAGTTTTAAAATATGAATGCACAAAGAATAACAAAACTGAACCAGGATGTTAACCGTGGCTGTCTCTGGACAGCAAGACTTGAGGCAACTTTTATATTTTTCCTGGTTATTTTCAGCATTTTCCAACTTTGATGATGGCCCTTTATTACTTTTAGAAGAAAATTACATGGTTTGAAGAATCCCGAGTCGAAATGCAAGCGAAGGAGATATATATAATGTCACTTCTTCTGTTCTTCATAGTGACATTTCCTTGGGGTGATAGCCCCAAACGTGCCTCTTGTCGTTCCCTCTGTGGCTAAATTTACACGGAGAGAACCGCGGGGAGAGAACCCAGCACATGAAGGAGGGTAAGAGAAATAAGGCATGGGAGGAATTTGAAAGTGAAGATAATTCATCTTTATCAGAGGTGTGACATTCCACACCCCCTCGCATTCTCCCAGAATATGCCCCTGAGGTGGGGCCGATGAATCAGACACGTGGGGACAGGGAGCTGAGCGGCTTTCTTCAGGCTGCAGGCCTGCGGCAGCGGCGATAAACAGACCCGTCGGCCTCTCGTGGAGAGACTCAGCACAGTGAGGTGGGGAGGGACGACAGTGAGGGGAGGACCTGGTGAGGCCCCACTTGCTGGAGGTGCAGGATGAGTTGAAAACACGGAGTGAAAACTAACTATTTGGGGGTGTTGAGTGACTATCATCTCCCCCGCCCCAAATAAACCTGTTTCCTGAGGAACAGGCTGACGAGAAGTGCCTCAAGACCCGTAGAATCTTCCAGGCTCTGAAGATGCAGCCTGCTGTCCCCAGAGTGCTGGGTTTCAGCTCTGGCTTCATATTTGCAGTTTCCACTTGGGGGAGGGGGTGCTAAGGGAAGAGGAAAGACGGTGCAAACATGGGTTCACCCCAGGTGCCACCACCAGAGCTCTTTCATCTGTGAGTGCCACACTTCCTGGCGTCTTCATCCCTTTTCCTGGAAGTCGTTTGTCCTCTCCTCTCCAGCCTTTAATGGGCATTAAGGACTTTACCCACCTTCCCTTCTGTGCCCAGGTCCCCTCGGCATCCCCAAGGGAGTGAGAGATGGCCAGGAAGAGGATTTGGGGGTTGCCGAGACAAATGTCCCATTTTTATCCAAAGCCATCCGGTATACTACCAATAGCTAGGGACAAATGAAAGCTACAGACAGGAGACTACTGGGTTTAACGGGAGGTAGCACCAGCCATAACCACAGGGGCAAGACCAACGGTCAAGGTGTGAATCTGGCTTTGGTTCCTCACTGCTGAAGGGCACTGCGAGGCGGGGCACCGGCCTTCCTGAGGCTCTTGGTTTGGTTCCTTTACGTCTGAGCAGTTTGACTGGGTGTTTTTTTTTTTGTTGTTTTTGTTTTTAAAGCCTTGATAGCTTCTGCCAAAGTTCTACTCAGCCAACAGCTACTGTACTTCTGCGGAGTCTCCTGTAGGGAGAAGAAATCCCAATATGGATATAATTCTATCTACAGAGTAAAAATGTAGTATGTCTCGCACACCCAAAATGGTGAAATGAAATGAACAGTATCATGGCATAAAATGGCATTTCTTGTTTGGTCAGAGCATAAGACCATTTGATGGAAAACCAGTCTGGTCCCCTCTGAAGTGGCTCTGCGGGAAGGCATGTTCACTCATTTCACATTTGTAGCTGTCTCAGAACACCTGGGTCAGGCAGGAGCCCCAGGCTGTCTCAGTCTGACCCCCCACCCCACAAGCAGGGAGCTTGTTTAAATGCAAACCTTCAGGTCCAGCCCTCAGAGACTCTGACCCAGGGGGTCTGGGTGGGCCCAGGAATGTACAGTATCATCGGACATCTCAGGTGATTCTGAGACATAAAGGTGACTTTGAGATGTAACAGCCCAGGCCCACCGCATGCAGGAGAGGATATCAAGAAGGCCCTATAGTTGTGCTCAGTTACAGGTACCTTATTTTGACCAAAATGTCACTGTAGGTAATCCTGAGATCCTCTCTGCTGGAAGGCTTGAGGCCCCACTGGTAGCAGTGCTGGGCCCAAACAAGGAATATTTGGGATGAGTGGAAGCTCTGGGTTCTTAGACATGAAAATTAGGTGGGTTTTAACCAAAACTGCTGAAGACGTGATATAAGTATGGGGACATTCAGTGAATCTCTTATCTCCCTTTCAAAGGAGCCTGCAATTCCTCTGATTCCCCATTGCGAACTTCCTAAATGATTCTGAGACTTAGACATTGATGTGTTTCCTCGCTTCCTCTCTGGCAGCGCCTTACCCTGAAGTTTCCGTTTTCTGTTTGGGGATCTAAGAACGAGCTAATGGGAATATCTCCAAAATGAGCCAACCGTGGTGAATTCCCAAAGCGGAAGAAACAAGTGTGGGCAGCCCGGTGCACTGACAGAGCTTTTCCTGAGTGTAGCCAGACTGTTTGCCGACACTGGGCAACTGACTGCAGAAAATGTCCCTGGGTTTCAGAAAAGTCCCCTTGCTTGTTTTCCTTGGACCCAACGCTGCTTATTCCGTAACACAGAGGTTTCCTAAAGGGCTATTCTTAGCTTTGCTCTCCCGGCTTCATATCAGAAAAGTTGGGGTCTGGTCACTATTTGCATACCCAGGATTGCTCTCTCACTCCAGTTAGCCCTCTGGCCTGGAGCAAGATGTTTGTGTCTCTTAAAGCCAGGAGTTCACTCTCAGTATCTAGGGGCCACCTGCATGCCCTGGTTTATGACCTCTTCATCTTCCAAACTCAGTGGTGGCTTGAAGCCCTCTCGCAAATCTCTCCAACTTCTTGGAGAGCCTTGTTGCTCTTCTGTCTACCACTTCTGCATAGGTTTGAAATAGGGGAAGACAGAAGACAGAAGAACCAAGATCCCAAGGCCATGTTTTTTTGTTGTTATTGTTGAAAGTACTTTAAATGGGGTGCCTGGGTGTCTCAGATGTTAAGCATCTACCTTCAGCTCAGATCCCAGGGTCCCAGGATCGAGCCCCATGTCGGGCTCCCTGCTGGAGCTGAGAGCTTCTCCCTCTCCCTCTGCTGCTCCCCCTGCTTGTGCTCTCTTGCTCTCTCTGTCAAATAAATAAATAAAATCTTAGGGAAAAAAAAGTGCTTTAAAAAAGGAAAATTATAATTTTTATTTATATATATTATATATATATATATATATATATATATTTACATGTTGTTAGAGTTCAGCCATTTTTAAGGATCTCAGATGACCTAACCAAACGTGTGCATGTTTTTTTGTCCTACTTCTGACTCTACTTATGGTGTGACCATATTTGCTGAAATCTCAAAGGAGAAAAATAAAACATATTAAAAAAAGCAAACACAACAACAACAACAACAAAATCTTATTCTAAGCATTCCGTAACTTTTTTGTGTGTTTATACTTAGCTGTCCTATCAATAGTGGTTTGTATAAATGGTTAACAAGGCTGAAGATAAAGTTTCTTTTTCTCCCTTTTTTGATCTATGAACTTGCTGCTTATTTTTTGGCCTGTGTGATGTGTGTGTGTGATGTTGTTGTCCAAAAATAAACTGGAATTTTATTTTTGCTGAGTTGTTCTAAAGAAGAGGCATATGGAAGGACTGACTAAATAGAGCCATTTTCTAACGCAAAATGTTTGCTGTAACCCAGTTTTATTTATTGCCCATTAGTGCTGGTGTTCAAATTTCTACTGGAAAAAGGGGGTGATTCTGGACTTCATAACGATGCCTTCTCATAGAGTATTTCATTTGTTGCTGCATTCCCCAGCTCCCAGCTCGGCTGGCTTTTACTAAATGATCATAGATATTTGTTGGATTAAGAAATGAATGAAGTCACTTGAAATGTAAAACACTTGCTTTTGTGTCCTAATCATGGAGTTCAGAATAGTTGACATCCTAAAAAGGAAGTGTTCTTATTTATTAATTTATTTATTTATAACATATAATGTATTATTTGCTTCAGGGGTACGGGTCTGTGAATCATCCGTCTTACACAATTCACAGCACTCACCATAGCACATACTCCCCCCAATGTCCATCACCCAGCCACCCCATCCTTCTCACCCTCCTCCCTTCTAGCAACCCTCAGTTTGTTTCCTGAGATTAAGAGTCTCTCATGGTTTGTCTCCCTCCCTGGTTCCATCTTGTTTCATTTTTTCCGTCCCTATCCCCCACGATCCCCTGCCCTGCCTCTCAAATTCCTCATA